CAAGGATTTAAATCAACAAGAAAAAATGTCCACTGTAGACACCAATAAATGTGATAGAGTCCAATGCACACCCCACCGGAAACACAACCCCGATAAAAACAAAGAGAAAAAAAAAAACACACACACACACACAGAGCTTCCCGCAGAACCCTAGCCCCTCCACCGCCCCCCAACGCCACACCCGCAATACTAAAAACCAATCGCTTACCCCCCAAACCCAACCAGGAACAGAAACAACTCAAACCACACCGGAACTGCTAAACCTAAACACCTTATCGCCCACAACCGCCACAACCCCCTCCCCCACCACCGCCAACAACCGTCAAAAACCCCATGGAAAAAACCCCGGGAACAAGACCCAGGCCGGAAAACACAGAGCATATAACTACTAACCAAAAAAAAAAAAAAAAAAAAAAAAAAAAAAAGGGAAAACCACATAAAAAGACCGGGAACAAGGAATACCTCGAAGAGAACCTGAGGAAACGCCATTCCGACGCTTAGAATGCCGAATAGAAGATCCAGCCATGAACACCACCTGGAAGACACGGATACACCGGCTCCGGAGAGGAACGAGCACGCCAAATCGGAGGAATCCATCTACCCTTGCGTCACTGCGTGAAGAAGAAATGAAAGGCGATGAACTGAAACGACACGGGAAGGAGAGAGGGTAAATATTGAAGACGATTTGAGCCCAAAAATCGCTATAATCTCTCTGCAAACGGCGACAATAATTAATGGAAGGAAATAAAGACATTAACCAAAGACCAAAACACCCCTGAGCACATATATTGACATCAACGCCTAGGATAAAAAATCACCAAATCTGGAACGGTGAAAGCTACAAATAAACGGCCAAGATGTAGTCTCACCATCTCACCTTATTGGGGTCTCATTGGATCCAATATATACATACATACATACATACATACATACATAAGATTTAAAGCATGTGCTAGTACACAGAAATTGGTGTCTATTTTTCGTTGTTGAGATAGATGAGATTAAGTGACCCCATGTTTTATTGAGGAAAAATAGGTATACTTACTATTGGTATTATTATTAGCAAATAACAAATATAATACGGTCTCTCTTGGTCTAAATGTATTTAGAGATATATGAATATAAGATTTAATTATTTAAAGATTCTATTATTGCTATATATGAAATTGGTGCTCTGGTAGACATGAAATTGATACAATCTTAGACATCTATTTTTCAAACACCAGAAAATGAAATTTGAAGAAAAACAATCCAAGTATGTCACAAGATTCCAATTATTGTAACTATCATGTGACTTTAATCCAACTTTAAATCAAACCATTGATGGTTGGTATCTTAGAGGAGCCTAATTAACTGAGTCAACTTGGAAAAACCTCAATAAATTCACATGCAAGCTAAGATGTACCAAAAAAAATAGTTTGGATTTTGGGGAAGATGTGAAGTAAGTTTGAGCCTTCCATTCCGAGCTTTTATAGTTCAAGCAGGAGAATGGGGCTACAAATGGCAATGTTGGGTCTAGATTGGGTGTTGCTGTTGTGGGGGTTGTCTCAGAGGTATGTTCAAGCTCTAATCTTCCGTGGGTTTGGTTGATGAGTTTCCCAGTATTTCTAGATTCATAAGGTCGGGGCTCTCTTTTAATGTATCTGTCTTCTGTGTATTTGTATGCAATTTGCATACTGGAAATTCTGAAATTTCCGACCACCTGAAATGATCTTAAATTAAGTTGATACCAAAAAGTTCAAAAAGTGGTCGGAAATAGCAACAAAGGTTTTTCCGGATACCAAAAGTGGTCGGAACAAAACTTTCAACTTGATTTAAGATCACTTTCAGGTGGTCGGAAATTTCAGAATTTCCAGTAGTGTTGTTAGGCCATAAAGAGATTGATAATTGTACTAGCTTGTAAGTTTTTTTTTAGAAACATTATCTTATTGCAAGAAGTGCATGCTGCCCTGAGATTCACCACATTACTACTTGTATAAATTTTGCAACATATATATGTATATATATGCATCTCTCATTTGTGATAGATGCATACAATGTGAACAATCTTGATACATTGGTTAGACCAGAATATATAAGGGCCAGCACCAAATCACATGGTCTGATGCCTAATAATATCATTAATTGTTTAGCTATCTTCCTCTTCATTTTGCATTATATATATTGTGTGAATCTTGATGTTCTACGCTTGTAAAGTATCTTGAGCCAAGTCGTGCGGATTTCGAGCTAGAGTTTGACTCGCCATTTTTTCGAGCAGCTCGAGCTCGACTCGATTGGCTCAAGTGTTCGAGCTCAAGCCGAAGATCGATTTGACATGGCTCGAATTGAGCGCGAGTTTGAGTAAGGTTGCTCGAACTTTTAAACTCGAATTTAACTTATTTAATTTCTTGCTTTAATTTTTTTTAAATATTCCTTCATTGATCCATAATCATGTACATAAAAGGGGTTATTCTTCCAAAGGTTGAACCCCAACCCTAAAGACCCCCCACACTCCGACTCGATAGAGTATTTGGGATAAGGGGTTATTCTATCTCAATTGAAAATGGAAGTCATTTTCTTAATTATTGCAAGCATATCTCAATGTGATTGAAAGTGTTTGTCCTTCACATTGTAACCCTTTGCTGAGAATGAGAAAGCTACTTCACATTGCATCAAAAACTCCTAATCAACAACGTATTTTACACTCATTATCTTACTCAACAGCTAATTTTACTAAACACATTAATTTCAATCAGTTAGCTTATTAGCTTTTTAGCTAGACATGCGAAACAGAGCCAATGAAAATATAGAATAAAGGTTTACTGGCATCTGATCACCTGTCTTGTTTACAGCAACAACCTGGTCAGCATTCTTCTCCACAGGCTCAGGTGCCTTCTCCAAGAATAGGTCAGGCTCACGTGCCTTCTTCAACAGTAGCTCGGTAGCCTGTTTGAGCTGACGCAAAGTAGCTCGTAGTTTTGCCTGGGTTTTGGCTTCTTCGTCCTGGTCAACCTATAAGAAGTATCCATAATTATGCATGGGAATGTAAAAGTTGTGGTGAGAGGTGGAATGTTGAAAACTTGGAATAGCAGCAAAGAATATTGTGACCCTGTTTGGTAAATGGCGGTTAGCTAATAGCTGATTGGGTTAATTAGAGGGTATAACTAGTTGATAAAGAAGGTGTTTGGTAAATTAGCTTATAGCTGTTGAAAAAGTTGTTTTGGACAACTTTTTAAATTTTGATAATTTAGAGTTACAAAAAACTAATTAACCAAACACTTTTTAACCGAATCAAACAACTAATAGTGGTCGAATAAGCATGGGATAGAGGTAACAGGCCTTTTAATTACCTCATGGCCATTCTCTGAAGGCTGCAATAGAAAGAAAAAAAAAAAAAAAAATCAATAAGAAAAACCAACAAAAAGTCCAAAAACATGAAATACATTTTTTGTGGTGTCATGACCTGAGTGGCTAGAGAAAAACGTCCTAACATTCTTCTAGGTTGTGATGAATTCAACAATGCTTGTTGTCGAAGAATATTTTCTTCAGTTTCCAAATCAGATAATTTCTCCTTAAGCCTGTCACAAGACACAAACAGAAGAACAAAAGAACAAAAAGTATGTCGTTAAGGTTCTCCCAATCTCAAATGATAAATATGAAACTTTAATGAATAAATCAGATGCCAAAAAAAAAAAAAAAAAAAAAAAAAAAAATGGGAGAAGTTCATTTCTCCAACCTTTGCAGGCCAGTCTTTGACTCCATCATTTTTGACTCAGCTTCAACGATTAGCTTCAACTGCTCTTCATTTTTTTTTCTCCAGCGAGCTAACTAAGGCCTTCAATAGAATCAGTACATTAAACCCAGCATATTATTGATATAGTCAAAGAACTGAACAAGCCAATCTAGACCATGCATAGAAGCCAGAAAGAGAGGAAACAAAAAACATAGATTTATATGCCTTCTAGACAAATCTTCAAATTGGAAACAAAAAACAATAGATTTATATGCCCTCTAGATAAATCTTCAAATTTGTACAACTATACAGTCACGGCTGGAGTTTATGGAATTTCCGACCACTGAGCTTAAATCAAGTCGAAAGCAAAAAATGGTCGTAAATAGCAACAAAGATTTGTCCGGATACCAAAAGTGGTCGGAACAAGGCTTTTGACTTGATTTAAGATTACTTTCAGGTGGTCGGAAATTCCATAATTTCCAACCGTGAGTGGAGCTTATCAAGCCAGAATATGATTGGCAAACCATATTTGAGAAACTCAGAACATACCTTAAGCTGAAGGTTTTCAGCAACAAGCTTACTCACAATTTCATGATCAACCTTTTCTTTAGTTTTGGCTTCCTCCATGTCAGCCTATAGTTTTAAGAACATTAATAGTATGGGTTCAGAAAAATGAGAAAATAAATTAGGAAACAGAAAAAGACATTTTCACATTTCAAAGCAACATATTTACTTCTCAAACTCCAATTGTAAAGTGAGGTGCTTTTCCAGGGACAGAAAATGAAGTATTGCGTGAGAGAGCCTCTGAAGATGCATTTAATGGGGGAAACAGAGGGTTTATAGTTTATATTATTCCTCATGTCCACCAGTTTAACGCAAATTATGCTATGGAAACCGTGTCCACCTATTATAAATGGAAGGAAAATGATATTTAATTGGGTGAATCAACGATTTGGTCCCTCACTTATTCGCGACTGGTCAATGTTGTCCCTGAATCACGTATTCATCGATTTAGTCCCCAAAAATAATTGTTTTTCGTCAAATTAGTTCCTATGGCCGTATTTCGTCAAGTCTCAGGCGAGAGCTCCGATTTGCCCTGGGCATTTTGGTCTTTTCACGCCTTCTTCTTCATTCCATCGTCGCACAGCAGCTTACCCAAAAGCCAAGGTCGCCGGAAAACTCCATTGCCGGTTTGCTGCCTTGCCGGGAGGGATCAACTTGAAAATATTGCAAAGTACGAAGAAGTCATCAACTTGAAAATAAACCTCCATTCTCAAGCTTTCCATCAATGGCGAACTCTTCTCTCGTTCTCCTCCCTCTTCTTCTTCTCCTTCTCCCTCTCTCCCTTCTCCTCTTCCTCTACCTCATCGTCCGGCCGCGTCCCGTGAAAGTCTCCATCAGCAACCGCCACGTCTTCATCACCGGAGGCTCCAGTGGCATTGGCCTGGCTCTAGCTCTCCAAGCCGCCGCAGAAGGCGCCAAGGTCTCCATACTAGCTCGGAATGCCGGGAAGCTCGAGGACGCCAAGCACGCGATACTGCGCGCCACCGGCTGCGGCGTCGCGGCGTTCAGCGCCGACGTCAGAGACTACAACGCCGTGAAGAGGGCCGTGGAGGAGGCTGGGCCTATCGACGTTCTGGTTTGCAATCACGGAGTGTATGCACCGAAGGAGCTGGAGAATCAGGAGATCGAGGAGGTGAAGATGATGATTGACGTGAACTTGACAGGGACTTTTCATCTCATCAAAGCGGCGTTGCCGGGAATGATCAGCCGGCCAGCGAACCGTGGACCTGGATCAATTGCCATCATTTCGTCTCAGGCCGGCCAGGTATATTTCCGATCTTCTCTCTTTTTGATGGGTGACAGAAAAAAATTGTACTCCTTAACAATTACTAAAGGGTGTACGTGATGGATATATTAGGAATGGACGGGGAACAAAGTGACCCCGTGGAGCATTCAAAAAAACATAATCCAAATTGCCTCGCCGGAAAACTCCATTGCCGATTTGCTGCCTCGCCGGGAGCTCCATTGGTCAGAGTTAATGAAGAAGAAGAATACATGAAAAGACCAAAATGCCCAGGGCAAATCGGAGCTCTCGCCTGAGACTTGACGGAATACGGCCATAGGGACTGATTTGATGAAAAACAATTATTTTCTGGGACTAAATCGATGAATACGTGATTCAGGGGCAACATTGACAAGTCGCGAATAAGTGAGGGACCAAATCGTTGATTCACCCTATTTAATTTAAGAAGTCAGATTAAAAAATATTTAAATATTAAACAATACATGCACAATAAGCGCCTACTTATTTAATTTTTTTTTTTTTTATAATAAAACCCAATAAGTTATACATTAGGGAGTAAACATTTAAAATCTAGTCTCTAATTCACAATAGGTTGGATTATATAAATTTTTCTAACAAACAATTATCATGTTTCTAGTATTTAATTATAAAAATATTCCTTCAACTTTTGCAATTTCATAATTATGTTCTAGGTCTTTAGTTAGTCCTCTAAATATTAATTTCTTCTTCTCTCAAAAAGTTGAATCTACAACGAGTCGTTATGATGTGCAACCGTGTGCACCATGCACGGTCACAAAAACGACGTCGTTTTGACTAAAAACGCGCATCCTACTTTTAAAAAAAAATAAATAAATCAGTTTCGATTCCCGTCAACAGCATTATGTTGTGCATAAGTTGAACTATATAGTTCATTCATTCTGAATATTTAATTCATTTATTCTGAATTTTTAGTTCATTCATTCTGGATATTTAGTTCATTCATTCTGGATATTTTGTTCATTCATTCTGGATTTTTAGTATTCTAGACTTTTAGTTCATTCATTCTAGATATTTTGTTCATTCATTCTAGATTTTTAGTTCATTCATTCTGGATTTTTAGTTCATTCATTATAGATTTTTAGTCATTCATTCTGGATATTTAGTTCATTCATTCTGGATTTTTAGTTCATTCATTCTGGATATTTAGTTCATTCATTCTGGATATTTAGTTCATTCATTATGCATATATAGTTCAAATTATGTACAACATAATGCTATTGCCGGGAATCGAAACTGATTTTTTTTTATATGAAACGCTTATTTTTAGTCAAAACAATGTCATTTTTGTAACCGTGTGTACCATGCATGGTGCACACGGTTGCACAGCATAATTGGCCATTTACAATCCCAAGGGTTATTCTTTGTTTCCTATTAAGATAGATATGTAATTTGTATTAAATGAGAGTTAACAATACAATTACATATTACATATTACATATCTATCTTAATTACCTATTAAGATAGTTAATAATTCATAATTTATTTATGAAATTGGAAAAAATGAATGAGAAAAAGATAAATGGTCCCCAGAGAATATGTGTATGCCACTAATATATAAACATTTACTTTTTTAACAAGTGTCAAATATATTGTTAGGGTATCCATATGAATGGATTTTTAGGGGTTTTTGTCAGAGGATTTTTTATTAATGTGGAGGATGGTTTATAGGCTTGTGTTTACCACGCGCTTGGTGGAGCGCTTCAGTCTTCAAAGTGGCTTTGCGTTCAAATGTTTGTACACGTTTGTGGGTCCCATTAAATAGAGAATCAAAGTGGCTTTGCGTTCAAATGTTTGTACACGTTTGCGAGTCCCATTAAATAGAGAAAAATAGAGAAAAACAAAGAAAACGTAAGACACGTGCGCAGAAAATCTAATTTTTTTTTTCTTGAATTTTTTTAAAACTAACAAAACAATTAATGCATCTGATACCATCATCACTAGCCAAATACCAAAATCACTACAATAATGGACCAAATTAATTAACTAATTACCAAATTACAAAAAAAAATTAGATCATCCAAATCAAAGATCAAAGAAGAATGGCTGAAAGTGAGGAGACAAGATTCCAAGTGGCCAATTTTTGCAAGGAGCAAAATGCAATCGTGAAGCGAGCAAACTAGATATGCACTCTTTGCGTCGCAAATGTTGTTATCATATGTTTCTTCATTTGCGGTCAAATGTTTATGGGTCCCATTTAAGAGAGAAAAACGGAGAAAAAGTAAGACGCGTGTGTGCATAAGTCCATCAATAGAATCAGTACATCAAACCCAGCATATTATTGATATAGTCAAAGGACTGAACAAGCCAATCTAGACCAGAAAGAGAGGACGAGACAGTGAACTGACAATTTCATTATCAAACTTGACCTCTTGTAGAACAGGCATCTGATCACCTGTCTCGTTTGTCACTGGTCAGCATTCTTCTCCACAGGCTTATTATGTGCCTTCTTCAAGAGTAGCTTGGTAACCTGTTGGAGCTTAAGCAAAATAGCTGGTAGGTCTGCACCATCCTGGGTTTTCTGGTCAACCTATAAGAAGTATCCGTAATTATGCATGGGAATGTAAAAGTTGTGGTGAGAGGTGGAATATTGAAATAGCAGCAAAGAATATTATGGGCCTGTTTGGTAAATGGCTGTTAGCTGATAGTTGATTGGGTTAATTAGAAGGTATAACTAGTTGATAAGATTAGCTGATTGTAGAGATGTGTTTGGTAAATTAACTGTTAGCTGATAACTGTTCTGTATATTTTACCAAAGAAATCTCTTTCAGTTCTGCACAATGGAGCTTAGCAACCTAGCATCTCTATCAAGGAATAAATGAAATTATTTTTTTTTAAAAAAAGCACATAAACTTACCTTAGGAAACTCGTTTTGAGCAGTAGGGTCATTGACCTTTTCTTGATCAGTAACCTTGACCTCTTGTACCATCACTTCCAAAGAAGACTGTAGTTTCACATTTTCTTTAGTTTTGGCTTCCTCCATGTCAGCCTATAAGAAGGAATGCAATTATTATCATCTTTTATTCCATCAACTTTTTCTAAAGTTGAACCCCCTATCCCCAAAATAACTAAATATAAAAAAAAAAAAAAAAAAAAAAAAAAAAAGACATTTTCACATTTGAAAGCAACATATTTACTTCTCAAACTCCAATTGTAAAGTGAGGTGGTTTTCCAGGACAACGGTGGATTCTGAGAGAGCAGACGCCTTGAAAAGGAATGTAACAGAAAATGAGGTATTGCGTGAGAGAGTCTCGCCACTGAAGAGGAGTTTTTAATGGGGGAAACAGAGGGTTTATCTTTATCCACCGCTCCTTCTGTTATTCCTCATGTCCACCACTTTGTATAATTGTATGGGCCTTGCTACAAAAGAGGAAGAGACTGGATGTCTCTCTGGCCTATTGAAACCCAAGAACGAGAAAATGCAATCATTATTATGTAGACCATAAAGTTGTGTGGACCATATTTTGTATACTATAAAATAATGTACATTTAGTATAAAAAGAATGTACATTCAGAACAAAAATAATGTATATTGTATTTAGAAAATGTACATTATTTTTGTACTGAGTATACATTATATTTTATAATGTATATTCAGTACAAAAATAATGTACATTTAGTATATTAAAAATGTACTTTTTGTTATGGTCCACATAACACTGTGTGGACCATGGTCCACACAATAATTTGCCGGAGAAAATGTGTGAAGAAATGATTTTAGATGGGCTCAAAAACGCAATAGTTATGCTATGGTACACACGGTTGCAAAACGGCGTCGTTTTGACTAAAAAGTAAAAACACGCGTCCCATTTAAAAAAAAAAAATCAATTTTGATTTCCCTCAACAGCATTATGTTGTTCATTCATTGTGGATATTTAGTTCATTCATTCTGAATTTTGTGTTATTCATTCACTGTGGATATATAGTTATAAATTTGTGGATATATAGTTATGAATTTGTGGATATATAATTCAAATTATGCACAAAAAATGCTATTGCCAGGAATCGAACCTGATTTTTTTTAAGTGAGACACGCGTTTTTAGTCAAAACTACATCATTTTTGCAACCATGTGCACCATACATAGTACACACGGTTGCACGGCATAATTTGTGTCAAAAACGTGTTAGAGGCGGGATCTGTTACTCAGGCCCGCCTACAATAATGAGTCTCATATCTTGGAACTGTCGCGGGGGGCTTGGCAACCAAGCGACACTTCTTCAAGTCTTATTGGACCTAGTCCAATCAGGGTCGGTTTTTAGATTTTTGTGGCCCTGTTCGGTAAATAAATAAGGCCCTACTAAAATTAAAATCTTTAAAACTAATACCGTACGTAATTTTATTATCTAAATATATAACAAAAAAAAATTATCCGTGCATTGCACGCACACTGCACGGATTATTGGGCAATTATTTGCTCGAATTCAAGCAAGGATAACATAAAAAAAAAACATAATCAATTCAACCCATTTCATCAATTGCACTATATAATATTCATTGTTATAATTTAAAGATTATAACAAATCTTTTCCGTGCAACACACAGGTAAAAATAGACATATCATGGAATAATAATAATAATAATAGTGTACACAAGTTTTGAACCTTAGACCTCAAAGTTAAAATACAATAAATACATATTCCTACCATTTCTTTATAAAACCTTTTAAGTTTAATTAAAAAAATTTTATTTTTATTTCTAAACTAACTAAGTAAAAATAAAATGCCCAAAATCCGGGCCTGAAAACAGGCAATTTATATCCTACACCATGGCGGCGTTGCACTATGCGCCCAGATGCAAAACGACGTCGTTTTAATTATTTTTTTTTTTTGAAATTTCCCGCCCCAGTGAATGGCAGTAGTTTTTTCTTAAAAAAAAAAACCCGTTGTTCAAGAATGTACATAATGTTATACTAGAATGCACATAATGTTATACATGAATGTACATAATTATATAACAAAATATACATACTCTTTTTAAAAGATAATACACATAATCTAACATAATACATAAGAAACATAAACTTTTAACATAATACACATCAACTATTAACATAATACACACAAATTTTCTGATTCGGATGTACATAATTGTATAAAAAGAATGTACATAATTGTATAAAAAATACACATAACTGTATGAACCAATACACATAAAGTTGTGAACAAATACACATAACGTTGTGAACAAATACACATAATCTCAACAACTTCCTACCGC